TATATACATACATATTTACTTTTTTATTGTGAATTGAGTAAACATTTACAGAGCAGATCATTAATTTTACATTTAAAAAATCATATGCTTTCCTTTACTACAATGATTGTAATCCCCTCCATGTGCCATCAATTAACAGTAATTACTGCTATTCACTTTAACTCTTCATTCCTACCTATGTCTCCTATTACCTTCATTTTTCCTCTGCCAACCTCCTTCTTGTTGTATATTGTCTGCCCCATTACCCATGTTAACATGTTAACATCTACCGTCTAGTTCTTGAATAATTTTCTCTCTCTTACTCTTTGGTGACCATCACAGAATGTTTCTTTTATAAGGAAAATATTTTTTTAAGACCTTTTTTTACATTTTTAAACAGTGGTCTTATACAATATTTGTTCTTTTGTGATTGACATTATGAATGTATATTGAACCTAGAGGACATTATGCTACGTGTAATTAGTCAATCATAAATATCAGTCTTTTGAATTAGTTTTCAGTTATTTTCATTACCTTTCTTCCTCAGAAATTTTTTCTGACTCTTCATCTTGGTGATTTGTTTTAGCCATTCTCTGTTGTTTTTTGTGTGAGCCAAAATTTTCTGTTGTCTCAGACATTGTGGTTTTGTCATATCTGTATTTAATTCATGATTCTATGTTGATGTATCCCTAGGCTCTTATCAACAGACTGTGGGTTTAGTTAATAGAAACATGTTCCTCATTCTCTGTTCACTGAATGTGCACCTCAGTTTAGAGTTGGCTGCTGTCCATTGTTGATCAGGTGGCATGGGAGTTGGTATTCACTCTTGCTCAGTGGCTGGAGCTACAGAGGGTACAGTTGTGGGTGTGCTCTATGGGCACTGTTGCTGTCTCCTGTCAGGTGGAAAAGAGGATAACAGTACCCTCTCCCTCACGAGAAAACAAAACAGAATAGACAAGCAACAAACAATGAAAAAAGAAAATAATGAAAGAGAAAAAAAACAGGCAGCAACCAGGAAAAAAATATGACTAAAAAGAGAAAAGAGTGACAACAAAATGGAGCTATAGAAGAGAAAAATAAAAGAAAGAAATTAAAACAAAACAGAACAAAAAAACCAATACTTAGAAAAACCAAGGAAGGATATGAAAAGAGACAGAGTTGAGAGTAGTAAATAAAATTCAAAAGAAGTAAGAAAAAAAGAGGGGAAATGAGAAACAGAAGAAAAGAAAAACAAAAGCAAAGATAGAAAGGATAAAATTCAAAGGAATAGAAAGAGAAAAAGAAGAAAGAATGAACCACCAAAAAACAATAAAATTTAAAAATCCAGTGCAGCTGCTGGGCACAGAAAGGAGAAAACTTTGGGACGCTCTTGCCAGCCAATGAATTCATGAGGCGGGTGTGGAAAGGAAGTGACAGTGGCATTCCTGTTCCTATTTGGAGTTCTTATAGGCCTAGGTATTATCTATGTTTATGGCACTCAATCTGTAAATAGTTCATGTGCACTTGATGGAGCTGGTTTCTGGGTCTGCCAGGTGAGGGTTTCTGGTTTGGGATGGTTTCTATAGTTCTGGAGTCAAGCCCCTATGAATCCAGGCACTTAAGTGACACAACCATCCTCCACCCCCTGGTATGACTCTTGTCAACTGCTCTCATTTCCTTTTTTATCTTCAGTGACCATTCATTGACCAGCTCTTTGGGTGGCTTCTCCTGAGTTTTAACAAACAGCCGCATGGTGAACTGAATTCAACTTGCCCCTTCCAACTTTCCATTCTCTATGCCTTGGCAGGTCACGGACAATTGCCTGGGCAAGGCAACCAAGAGGAAGGGACTACACTTTCATTCTAGCAAAACATATGGTTATAAATATCAAATGTCTCTATTTTTCAGAAAATTTCAAAATAACAGATTTTTCTTAGCAAGGTTAAATTATATAAAATGTTGTTGTTGTTAGGTGCCATCAAGTCGGTACCCAGTCATAGCAGTGCAGTTGTTGGATCTGAAGAGGAGAAATCTCTGGGGGACTCAATTCAAGGATTTCATGAGGTAGTTGTGGAAGCAATGTGACAGCAGAGTTCCTGGCCCTAGATGGAGTTCCTATTGTCCTTGGTATTATATATGTTCAGGGCACTGGATCTGAAAGTACTTTGTGGGTACCCTTGATGGAGCTGGTTTTAGTGTCTTTTGGGACCACAGGGAAGCCATGGGTAACTGGTTAAATGCTGATCTGGTACCTCTGTGGGTTTTGTAGGTATGAAGCTGAGCCCACCTGAATCCAGGCACCAAAGTGGTACACGAAAGCATCATAGCTGGCCCCCACCTTACACTGGCATGATTCCCAATCATATGGCTCCAAACTCCCAGAGAGCATAGTCTTCATTGGGGGTGGATGTGAGTGGGTGCTTGCCACACTTCTGGTCACCAGGAGAGCAAAGGGAAGTAAATCACACATTTTCCCTCACCCATGCAAATTTGCTGTGCCTGGCCTCCCACTGCTGCCAAAGCTGCTCACAAGATGGTAGAACCACGTCTGGCCAGCTGTTCACTAGTTAGTCTCCATTTCTGTCTCTCCTCCAAGCAAGCACTCCATCCACCTCTCTAACCTTTCTTCTGAAGTTCAGGGTTCCATAATTTTCCTCTGTGTTTGTTTTATTTGATTTCTTGTATGTTGTGTGCTGTGATTGTCCTGTGTTCTTTGAGAAAAATCTATCAAGATTTTTGTTGTTAAGTGCAGTCAAATCAGTTCTGACTTGTCCATTGGAAATTCTAAAGCACAGTCGCCATTACCTTCTGAGCTGATCTTGCTACCTTGAATTTAGCTGACACAGCAGATCCCTTTGGAAGTACTGTTTTGATTGAAAGTTTTCTTTCTTTTTTGAAGGCTCCTTAACAAGATCACTGAGAGAATGTGTCTGCAGCTATCCACTGATAGCAGAGACATGTTATTGTGTGCTGTTGAGTTGATTCTGATTCATAGCAACCCTGTATAGTGTTTCTATGGTTGTAAATCTCTATGTGAGCAGAAAACCGTATTATTCTCCCATGGAGAATTATATGCAATTAGACATGGAGAATTTATATGCAATTGACAACAGAATATTTCTGTTTCTGGTATATTGGCAATGGAAATTTTCATCAATTCCATGGCTATATAACAGCTGAAACATCCTCATCTACATGTAATAGTCATTAGTAATCTTTTAGGGAAAATTATACTGTATTAATTTCCTTAATTAATGTTTCTTCTTTCTAATAGGGATAATCATAAGAAATGGATTTTAATGTCTGGAATGTCAAAGATACGCTCAGTCATCCCTCAGGCTCTGGGTAAGATTTCTGATAATATTCTCTGAGATTTAAGAGGTTTTTATTGTTGCACTGATGTCATAGAAAAAAATGTTTTCTTCCTATTAGGTTATAGTAATAGAAATATCTGTACAATATCTTACTTTTCTTTTTCTCTCTCCTGTTACCATTGGACTTGCTCATGGTTATCTTTTTCCTTCTGACAGTTTCCTGATTATGAAAGTAATGTCAATCTAGTCATATGTGTTAATGGAGTATTAACTCTGGGTTCAAAATTGGGTATAAGGATGGTGAGGCCTGTGAGAATCTGACTTGTTCCAACATCTGGAAATTGTCATTTCTGTTGAAGCAACTGCTATTAAAATAGCAGGGAACAAAATCACGACAGTGTTCAGATATGTGTTCAATTGTACACTGCAATTTATAGGCATTGTGGAGTTCAGAGTCACTCCAGCTGCTTACAAGATTTTGCCCCCTCCACAAATCCATCCATGTACTTACCTTGGTGTCCATCAGTCATTCTATAGACCTGCTATTGATGACTTAGAATTTATGTGGGTGTGCCACATAAGTCATGTACACTTAAGGGATTTTTAATTGCTTTTGGTATTCTTTTATTATTGAGTGTTTTCTTTCCTTCCTAAAACCTTCCTGTAGAAAGTTATTAATTCATCAAAAACTTGATCACTATTCTAATTCTCAAAAGGAAAAAAAGTGCTACAGTTGATACAGAGTAGGTTACATCTATCTTTGTTAATTCTAGATCATAACTTTAAGATGTAAATCCTACATGATTCCAGTAAGCTCACAGATTCTTTTTCCAGCCCAGTTAATTATTATCTTTGGCCCAAGAGGGAAGTCAAAGAGAGCTATTTTGAGCATTGATTACGCAGCCCATATTATATGTGTGCTGCTCATTACCTTAGCTAATTTCAGGAAATTGTTCTACAAGCCAGAATAATTGTTCTTTCCTGTGCAGACTTATAAGAGCTTTTTTTTAATTTTTATTTTTTGCTTTGTATTAATAATACGGAGCTTCCTTGGGTTTAGAATATGTACTTATATACTAATTACTTTATGTTTAACATTAGGAAAATGAGTGATTCACATTACTTTGCTCTGTAGGATAAGCACTTGACTGCTAACCATAGGTCAGCAATTCAAATCCATCAGCCACTCCTTGAGAAAAAGCTGAGGTTTTCTGCTTCTATAAAGATTTATAGCCTCAAAAATCCTGTACAGGTCATTATGAATCAGAACCAACTCAATGGCATCTAGTAGGCTCTGTGCACTGTTTACAAGTGTGATTGTATTGTTATACGTGTCACTGATTCCATTATATGAGAAGTTTAAAGACTGACATAGATAGACATTGGAAGCAAATTGGAAGTTCACAGCTGCAAGTATTTAAAACAAGCAAGGACAAGACACTAAAAATGTGAAAGGGAACAACACCTTGCTTCAGAACAATTTTTAGTGGATTGTCATATGTATAGACCTGAGTTGATCATATTTTTCAGTCTGGGCAAGGCCTAGCTTGTGTTTTATTATGGTGTCCTCTCCTTCCAATCTTGCTCCCTTCCTTCTCTATGGTACATAGTCTAGAAAAATTAATATATGTCCCTCCAATTCACCTTCTAGATATTCATTTACTTGTTTGTTTGTGTATGGTAGGTTTAAATTTTTACGTAAATGATATATGATACAGCTCATTCTATTTTTACTTTTTTCTGTACACAAAATTATTTTTGAGGTTTATCCATGTGGTTATATGTAAATATAGCATATTTCTTCTGAGTGATTCTTCATTTATATGAGCATATTATATTTTATTTATCTATGCAATTGTTTAAGGAGCTCTGGTAGCATAGTGGTTACAAGTTGGGCTATTAACCTCAAGGTCGGCAGTTCGAAATTGCCAGCCATTCTGTGGGAGAAAGATGAGGCTTTCTGTTCCCATAAATATTTACAGACTTGGAAACCCTTTACAGGGTTGCTGAATGGCAACTAACTCCATAGCACACCATTGTTCAAGCTCACCAACTGCTTCTTGAAAACACTATACAGGGTCGCTATGGGTCAGAACTGACTCGACGACACTTAATAACAACAACAGTGTCACTAAAGATGAACAAATTCAACTTTTAAAAACATAATATTCTCTTAATTCCCCAACATTTTATGAACTTAGATCTTCCAAATGTTGTCATAGCCCAGAGTGCTGTTCTACAGGAGTAATGGTGATACAAATTCTTTCTGTCTGAATTACCATCTGATTGTTCCCAGGATGTTGTAATAGAAATGTCTGGCATTCAAAATTTCCTTGTATTTCTTTATAGGTAGTGCTGGTGTGTGCAGGTTATTAGGAAGTTATAACAAGTTAGCATTCTTCCCAGAATACTCTGAATGAATAGTTATGATTTCATTTGTTCAGGATGTTCGTCCACTTGATATACCTTTCTTTTCTTTTCTTATTTCAGGGCCATTATTAAGTCATCTAACTGGAATAATAATCAGACTGATTATTCCAGTCTCAGTGACTCCCAGTTCCTCTTTGGATCTCAATTTTGTCCAGAAAGTTCAGAGACCTTATCAGCACCATTGGACATTGGTACCCACCTAAGACATCCAAAACAGTCACAACAGAATTCTCTGGATGTGAGTCTTGTTTCTCCACACACATTTCACAGTCATTTTGGAGACAAGCCATAAAGAAGACTGTTGGAATATATTTTAGAATTTTACATCTCTAAGGATTAGTTTTCTAAATGGATATGTGCTTGATTGGTGACTCATTTGACTTTGTAGTTTGAAATGTAGAACTATTTTTATTTATAATTTCTGCTATTACCAAAGCAACATAGAATAGTACCAGTCCTTGACCATTTCTGGAAAGAGCCAAATATTGCAAGACATTTTCTAAGACTAGTCATGCTTTGGACTTCTCATGTGGTTTTGTAATATGAATACTGGACAGCGAAACCAGAAGGTCTGCAGTTCAAACCCACCAGCTGCTCCTCAGAAACCCCATATAGGGTCACTATGAGTCAGAACTGACTCAATGGTATTTAACAACAGCAGTCATGCTATTGTTTGTGAAAATTTCACGGAAAGAAAAACTGTCATAAATAGTAACAAAGTAACTTAAATTTTATTTTAAGTGAAAACTATTCTCTAAGTAATTTCAGGGATGTTGTGACTTTAGTCAACTATATCACATTATCAGAGTCCTAGTAGCATTGTGGATTATGTAAGGTCAGCAGTTTGAATCTACCAGTCTCTCCACAAGAGAAAGATGAGGCTTTCTGCTCATCTTTCCAACCTTGGAAACCCTATACAGGGTCACTATGAATCAGAACTGACTCAGTAGGACACAACCACCACCAACCATTACATAAAAGAAGATTCTAATACACAATGAATGAATAAGGGACAGAATGAGTAACAAAGTCTTCAGTCTTTGATTATTTTAGGCCAAGTTGTCTTCTCTTCCTGGACATTGGTATCTACTTAAGAAATCCAAAGCAATCACAACAGAATTTTCTAGAGATGAGTCTTATTTCCATAATTTCAGAATTGTTTAGATTTTTGGGTCTAGAACTAGATTTTCCTGTATAATTTGGACCTTACTTAATAAAATTATATCAGTGCTTTAAATTAGTTAGGGTATGTTCAGAGATAAGTATTCCAGTATAAAAATTTTTACTCAGTGATTTAAAGAGACAAATTCTCCTGGACCTTTTAGAGTAACTTTTGCCTACGAATGTCAATGTTCAGTCCATGTCAAACTAATCAAATCTTTAGTTCATTAGCAGCTGGACAAAAGCAATTTGAGTTAGACTTACTAATATGAAACTTTAACACATTCTCCCAAATACAGCATAAATAATTCTTATTATTCCCTTTAAATTAGTGCAATTGATTGTCAGATATTTTAAATATATTTGGGATAATAGGCCGAAACTACAATAGTAATAAGATGGTTGAGAATTTAGCTTCCATTGTTTTTTACTTTGTACTTCTCTGTTGTTTAAAAAATGAGTTTTTCTTTAAAGACAAAAATTTAATGTGCTGTGTATGACTTTGGCTAAGTCACTTCGTCTTTCAGCTGCTCAGTTTTTTGTCTGTAAAATGGACTAATAATACCTTTGTCTTAGATTATGATGGGAGTCCTGGTGTGGCACTGTAGGATAAGCTCTCAACCATACCATCGGTTTGAACCACCTCAGCCATACTATCGGTTTGGACCGCAAGGTCAATGAACGGTTCAGACTCACCAACTCTATAGAGTTGCTATGAGTCCAAACTGAATCAACAGCACTTAACAACAACAATAATAACAACAATAGTAAAAAGAGTTGTTGATTTTAAATATAATATTCTGTCATATATGCAAATAAAATATAGATAGTATCATACTACTGTGGTCTAATGCGTCAGACTGCAAAGTTGTTTGAACTGCAAGGTAGGTAGATCAAGCTCACCAGCTGCTCCTTGGAAACCCTATACGGGGTCCCTATGGGTTGGAATCGACTTGACGGCACTTAACAGCAACAACTATATATTATGTTGTTTAGCAGTATGGTTTGTGTTTAAATATGACTACATTGTATAGTAAACAGTAAATGCTATAAATATTTTTATGCTCTAAATATTTAAATGGTATAATGATTGTTTGTTTTTCCATTTAACAGAGTGAACCTAGTATATTCACAAAGTACCAGACAAAACCCCAGCTATTTGGAGGAGATACAAAGGAAGGAGGCTTATTTCCTCTTCCTTTGCCAGTTGGAAAATCAAAGGGCCTCTTGGAACAATTTGAAGAGAAAAAAAAAAGGGCAAAAGACAAATATGATAGGTATGCAAACCCTCCAGCTCATTTTTTTTTTTTTAATGTAAGGTTTTTATTGTGAATTAAGTGAAAGTTTCCAGGGCACATCATCAGTTTGACATTCAACAATTCATATAACTTGTTTCATTACATTGATTATAATCCCCTCCATATACCATCAGTTAAAAGTATTTCTCTTTATCCACTTTAGCTTTTT